CTCACAAGGCATTCCCTGCCCCTCCAAGGCAAGATGCAAGTGTTTGGTGCAAAACCAGACACTAAACGGTCGAGTTCGGGGATCCTGAGGCAAGGCGCGCGAGCCGAGACCTCCGGGAACTCCAAACGAACACAAACATGGAAGATCACCGTGTGTTCAAACGGTGACGTCCAAGCCTTGAGGACGGTCAAAAATGGGGTGTCTACAACTGGTGAAAAGATGTCAATTGTTGAGTACTTTCGTCAGAAATACAATATTATACTTGAATATACATTCTTGCCTGCACTTGTAGCTGGAAGTGATGCCAAACCTGTTTATCTGCCCATGGAGGTTTCTTCAATTATTTCGACTTTTGATATGTTTTCTGTTATTTGTGTCTTGTTTGCCACTACTAGTGACTTTAGTTGACAATGGTAGTTCTTTTGCTATAGATTTGCAAGATTGTTGAAGGGCAAAGGTACTCTAAAAAGTTGAATGAGAAGCAGGTGAGTGCCCTGTTAACGTCCTGATGTAAGAGAGGACAGTATTAAGCAGGTATGAGTTGTGTTCAGATTTTAAATGTATTCTGTTGCTGGAAGTTCTTGACTTTGGTTATTTTGATTATTAAATAAAAAAGACCTTGGTGATGAAATTGTTCTCTTTTTATGTCTGGTCCATAGTATTTCTTACTAGACATAGATTGACTCTACAGATGGTTCGCCATAATAATTACAACAACGATAAGCTTGTGAATGAAGAATTTGGTATTCAAGTGAGGGCTGAACTTGCATCTGTTGATGCACGAGTTCTCCCACCTCCAAGGGTAATCTTCTGTGAATGAATCATTTTTATTTTCCATGTGTGAATGAGTCTAACATTGACTTTGGTGGTTCAGCTCAAGTATCATGATACTGGGAAAGAGACACAGGTTGATCCAAGGGTTGGTGTATGGAACATGATTGACAAGGTGAAACAGCAGTTATATTTTTGTGTTGTTGGTGATTGGTGGAATAAACCTGGGACGATTACCATATGATTCTTAAG